GAGAATATAAGAGTGCATTCGTTTATGCAGTCACTACCGCAGATGTCATTCGTTTACTCCGTCTGTGAAAGTAACTGCAGTGCAGTTCGTCGTTCATTTTACACAGGGATGTATCTTATCTGTGCAACTATCTCGGAAGTCCTGCTTTGGATGCTTTGCTTGCGGTACTGTGTAAATGAACACCAAAATGAATTTTATTAGAATAAGAAGCAAAAAGGATCAGAAATAAATAATTGATCCAAGTAAAATAAGAATAATAAGATATAATTAAAATAAAAATAAGATAAAATTAAAAAAATAAGAAAAAATAAAAATAAAAAATAAGAATAAAATAAGAAAAAATAAAAATAAAATAAGAAAAAATAAGAATAAAATAAGAAAAAATAAAAATAAAAATAAGAAATAAGACAAAATAAGAATAATAAAATATAATTCACAAAAAATTAATATCTAACTTTTAAGTAAGATTCATAGATTCATAGATTAAATTTTTTATAATATTCATTATTTATATCAATTAAATTTAATATCAATAAAATATTATTTTTTATACAATAAAAAGTTTTATTATATTTTAATTATCGAATATATATTTCGAATATATATTAAATTCGAATATAAATTTATGTATAAAATTATCTCTTTACTTATCATTCAAATAATCAGCAATTGGAAGATATGATCCGTGTAATTATTCACGCAGTTATCCGTTCAATAAATTTCGATCATGTGACAAGCAGATGAGAAAACAGTGGATGCACAAAACACTGCGTAAATGTATGCACCCTAAAGGCCATTGCACGTGAAAAAATTTTAGTGGTAATCGTAAGGTCGTAAATGAATTGACTAATCGATTATTTTTAGACTGTAAGGAGAATAATTGATCCTGATTGGTCAATTTGCTTATGATCTTACGATTATAATTAAAATTTTTTCACATGCAATGGCCTTAAGACAGCGTTGAGTTGAGTTGTCATAATTCAAAAAAATACTAGATGGATATGCGTATTATATTTCTTAGTCCTAGTGAAACTAAAGATGCAGTCCTATATCGCGCGTATCACGGATTATGCGTATCGAAAATCTGACCAATCACGGAATCATGTTTCGCTTTTCGATACGCAGCTCCGCCAAAGGATGCGTCTCAATGGATAAGGAAACATGGTGGGGGGCTAACCAATCAGAATGATTCCGTTTTTTTATAGCCGGGTTCCCCATGACAAACATTTAACGGAACGAATTTATTACGGAATATGTGAATTTAACCTGTTATCGGATACATCGTTGGACGGCCCGACGTAAAGCTGACTTCGTTCTCTTCATCGTTCTTTTCACTCGAGAAGACATCCAAAAAAAAAAAACAATTTTCGCATGATATGATATATAATATATATATATATATAATATTATATATTGTACGAAAATTGCTTTTTTTTATGTCTTCTTGGATGAAGAAAAAGTGGTTAAAGTGACTTTATGTCGGGCCGTCCAATGATGTATTCGATAACAGATTAAATTCACGTATTCCGTAATAAATCTGTTCCGTTAAATGTTTGCCATGGGGAAACCCGTTTGCCCGGCTATGAAAAAACGGAACGAAATCATTCTGATTGGTTAGCTCCTATCATGTTTCCTTTCTATTACTATTTCGTTCCGCTATTTTCTTGTCCATGGGAACGCACCCAAATCCATTATTAACGTAACCAAGTGTAACACGTGTCGAATATAAATGGTAAAGCCAAATTTGAAAGCCAAATTTGAAAGAAAGAAATTTGGAATTTTTTTTTAAGATAATAGAGATGAGCAACAAGGAAGATTTAAATTCTATAAGTATTTATTTAGCATTTTTAAATATTATTTTTGTAATATTTGTAATTGTATTTATATTGTGCTTCATAATATTTTGAGTGCTTCATAATATTTGTTAATTTAAAATTTGATAAAATATATTTCTTTAGTTTGCATTGATTATTTCAGTTTAATATAAATAGGGATATATTATGAATTACTAGTTTCTTATTCTTATGTTTATTATTCTTTTTCTTACAATCAATAAAATGTGAATATTGTGGGTGGATACTTGATGGATTAATAAATGTCAGCTTAATGCAACATCATTGCTTGAAACATTTCGATGAGGATAAACATCTTTTATATGTTGATGAAAACAATGTTGCATCTATTAGTAAGTATCTGAAAGCAATAATTATTTGTAATAATTAAATTCTATGATTAATACACATAGTGCACACTAGTTTAAAGTTTTATTATCTTTTATTTTATTAATAGTTTTATGTGAGTCAATTGTACATATAATTATTTATGTATATATATTCATACATATTTCATGTTTACAGTTGATAAAAATCAATCGGCAGACAAACAATCAATTCAAACAAGCCATAGCGATTATAATGAAGCACTTGTTAATGCTGTAAACTCAAGAAATGCATTATACAATCATCATCGTATATCAATAAAAGAAAGGACAAGTTTAAAAAAAAAGCATTATGGAAAGAAGTTGTAAATTTAATGGGAGATATGTTTTTACAGGTTACATATATAATAAAATAATTTTATTTCAATATATTTTATATCTATGGAAATTTTTAGAGCATTTTTAGAACATTTTAATAGCAAAATTTAAAGTTTTTTTTTAAGGTTTAAACAATTTTTATGAGTAAAACTTAGTAAATTCTTAGAATATAACTGAATTTTTTTTAATTTCACTGAATTTATATTTATACAAACATTTTCAAAGATATTTCTTTCTTGTCTTAAATTATTATAAACTTAAATTTTAAATATTATATTTTAAATATAAATTTTGCAGAGGATTTTTTGAAAAATTAAATTTTTTTGAAAATTCTTAGAAAAATGAATTTAAATTTACAAAGATTCTTAGAAAAATGAATTTAAATTTACAAAGATTTTTGGGCAATTATATTTTGCTACAAAGTTTCTACAATAGTTTAAAGTTTTAATTAATGATTTAAAAATTTAAAAATTGATGAACTTAATTATTTAAGATTACACTTTATGCATCAAACTGTAAAAATATTACACAATCTTTTTCAAACGGGTGTAGTAAATATTATTGTAGTAAATATAACATATTTTCCTTTTTAAAAACTAATTTCAAATTTTGTTTTTTTAAATAATAAAGAAAATGAAAACGTAGAATTTTGTCCAAAAACGTTGGAAATAACTTCGCGACAGTTACGTTAAAACAAAAAAAAAAAAAGAACGCATACATACCAAGTGGGTCTTTTGGAAGTGTACAACATGACAAGATGACTTTTGCTTTGTACAACTAGATGAAATTCCTGGATGACATAATAGCAAAGTCGCCATAAGTATTTTTTGTGAACAGCTTTTTTCAGCTAGACATCAAACATATCATCTGTTGTATATCACTTTCTGTTTCTAAGCAAAGAGTTTTTCTCTTTCCCAATAAATAAAAAGAATTGAAAAAATTTATTTCCATTTTTGTCTATGACATTTCAAATAATAAAAATGAATTGAAGAGAATTAAATAAACATTATCTATCAGATTCAATTCTTTTTCGTTTCTTGGTTTAAGTATCAGATTGAAAAAATTAGAAAATTTATTACAATCATAAATTGATTTGTTTACCACAGTACAGTCACTAATTTACCGGCACTACAAGCAGACGATGAATGTCCAACTGACAACCAATAATGTTCAAAGGGTTCTACTACTCAAACTTCATCAGATTCTGTTTCGTCAGATAGCTCGATTAACATGTCTCATTTAATATAACT